TGCACCCCATGGGAGACCAGGAAAAGCACCTGGCTCCTGGCTCCTGCCATCGGATCAGCGCGGTGCGCCGGCCGCAGCGCGCTGGCCGCGGCGGCCATTGGAGGGTGAACCAACGGCAAAGGAAGACCTTTCTCTCTGTCTCTCTCTCTCACTGTCCACTCTGCCTGTCAAAAAAAGAAAAAAAAAATAGAGAATGGGACTGGGAATGGAGAGGGAGGCAGAAGAGGGGTGGGAGTGTGAGTACGGTGGGAAGAATCAGCATATTCCCTAAGTGTACTTACGAAATGCATGAAAGGTTTCATTGGGGGGGAAAAAGCTTAAAAAAAAAAAAAAAGATAACCTCCACTTTCAAATATTTTAGGCATAAATTAAAGGAAAATGTGGCATGTGACAGAACCCTTATATAGGTACTAACCTTCTTATTACTGTTGGAAGACATACCTTAGCAGGCACACTGTAAAACACAATCTAGGGGGGCAGGAGCTGTGGCATAGCAGGTAAAGCCACCGCCTACAGTGCCAGCATCCCATATGGGCAATGGTTCAAATCCCGGCTGCTCCACTTCCAATCCAGCTCTCTGCTATGGCCTGAGAAAGCAGCAGAAGATGGCCCAAGTCCTTGGGCCCCCGCACCCACGTGGGAGATCGGAAAGAAGCTCCTGGCTTCAATGGACACAGCTCCAGCTGTTGAAGCCAACTGGGGAGTGAACCAGCGGATGAAAGACCTCTCTTCTCTCTCTGCCTCTCCTTCTTTGTGTAACTCTTTCAAGTAAATAAATAAATCTTTAACAAATAAAAAACCACAATCCAGGATGGTACAGATCATTGGCCCTATTTTACAGATGCTGAAACTGCACTGAGAGTTCATATGATGTACCTAGAGACCAGGGAAGAAAGAAAAGCCTTTTTCATTCTTACTGCTTTGTATTTAGAAAATGCCTGCTACATGACACAGTCTATGAAATAAAGTAATAGAAAAACAAATTCTAGCCAGACATTCTGGTAACAGAATGTATTCTTAACTAACCCCACTTCTCAAACCATTGTTTTAAACACTAGGAAGGCTGCAATATTCCCAGGTCTGCTCACAAAGGCTGCTCACAAAGGCAATAGTAAACAGCTTGGACTCTCAAGCAGTTAAAATGGTTTTAACAAAGCAGTAAACAGCATATAAAACTGAAAACCCACCACCTTCTAAAGCCTCCTATCAGTGACAGCTTCTGCCTCACACCCTGAAAAGTTCTCTGTTCACTTTTAGAGAATAAATAGTAAATGCATTTTTGCATCACACCAGTTATGAACGGAATTCCATGTCTCTAAAGACGCCTATTTGTCTACACAGTACCATACAAAGGATCCCCGCCGCCCGCCTCAGGAACTCCTTCCACTTGGTGAACTGTTAAACCTCTGCATCAATGCTAACTATATTATGTAACAAAGTGATAAACCCCCACCAACACCTCCCCTTGAAAAACCTCCCTTGAGGGGAAGGTCCTTACTGACTCTTAGTTGAGGAAAGATGCCTAGATGCACTCTCATACGCTCCAACCCATGAACTTCCCTGAACTACCACCAGCCTCTGCCCCGACCATGACATCAGCCTCAATTCCTAAACAATCAACATGTGCCCAAGGATGACTTAACTGGCATCTCATGCAATAAAGTTCAATCTGGCCAAAATGCCTAAAATCTCACAACCTCTTTTCTATGCAGAGTAACCATCAGGGGAGTTATATTGTCCCACAGGAAGGCATGCTCGCACACAACTCTCAGGCACAAAACACCCCTTTCCCAGTTTTATCTTTACACCTCCTTCCTCTCTATTTCTTTAATCTTCCAGATCATGAGCAATAGAACCAGGCAATCACCTCGGCTGCTTCTGCGGCTCATTTGTATCCAAACAATTTTACCAGTACTCCCCTCCCATACAGCTTCCACCCATACAGGCCTCCAGAAATCACTCCCAATTCTCCTACCCTTTATTTCTCTCTCTCTCCCCCACCCTCCTTCCCTGTCTCTTCCTATCTCTGTATAACTCTAACTTTCAAATAAATAAATAAATAATCTTTAAACAAATAAATTGTGTGACCCCAGACTGGATCCTGTATCACGATGAAGTCATTATTATGGACACTAGAACATGGAATAAAAGTAGAATTAAAGCATACTATAGGGGCAGGCATTGCGGCACAGCAATTTAAGCCACTGCCTGGGACACACACAACCCACACCAGAGTGCCTGGTTTAAAACCTAGCTACTCTGCACTTCTGATCCAGCTCCCTGCTAATGCACCCGAGAGGTAGCAAGTGATAACCCAAGTATTCCTGACTTCTGGCTTAGTTGTGGCACAGCCCCAGCAGCTGAGGACATTGTGGAGTGAATTAGCAAATGCAGATCTCTCCCCTCTCCCATCTCTTTCTCTGTCATTGTGCCTTTCAGATGAAATTTTTTCCAAATATTTTATTAGCAAGTTTCCTGAATGTGACAGCTGTACTATGAATCCAAGAGAATACTCCTGTTCTTTAGAAATAAACACTGAATCATTAGGGAATACAGCACCACCACTTATAGGAACTATCTTGAATGGGTTTGGAAAATATGTGTATGTGTATAAATGCTCATATATATATATATACACACACACACAAAATTCAATCAAATGTGGCAAAATATTAAAAACTGGCAAATCTGGGTAAGAAATATAAAGCAAGTTTTTTAAATTGCTTTTTGAACTTACCTTTTGGAAAGATTTCAAAATAAGTTTGTTTTTAAAAGTCCATCAAGGAGGTACAAAGGAAACTTCAGAGTGACGGCCATTTCATTCTCTTGAATACGGTAATGTTTCACCAGTTTAGGTATACCACATGTGTCGAAACTTATCGAACTGAACACCATAAAGTACAGATATACTTGGTAGTGATTACTTAATAAAGCTTTTTCGTCACATGAATATTCTGAAAGATTTCAATATTTCTGGGCAGTCACAGGAAATCTCAACAAACGTCACCATGTAGTCCTCTCATCTCTTTGCTGAACCCTTCCCACTTGCCTCTTGTAATCCTGAAGAGCTTACTATGCTATCTCTATTTGTCTTCTGCTGTATGTGACTTCCTGGAAAAGGGATGTGTGGAACTTATACTCAAACAATCTAGACTCAAATCTTGGTTATGCCAACTCACATGCTCAGAGAGAAGCCAAGTGTCCTAACCTGTGGAATGGGGATATGGCCACCTACTCACAAGATGTGGGTGCACACTGGCAGGGTGGTTGTTAAGATCAAGTTAATGGAGGAATTACATATGGGGGTATTTTGTAAACTGAATTAACACAAAATGCTGTTACATGTCATTACCTCCACATACCTAATGCCTTGTAGGCTCAACCTTCTCCCAAGTTGTCCCCCAGGCGCCTTCTCTGAAAATAAGACTCACCTCCCACTTGAAGGAACTCACATAGGACAACTAGAGATTGAGGCCACCAGTGGTCTAGAAGCTTATTCACAAGGGCAGCCTGTGAACAGGACACACTTAATGCAAAGAACACAACCTGTGTATGTCTAATATTTATGAGCCAGCCCAAAGCCTTGCTCTTAAGATCAATACCTGAATTCAGTATTAATCAATAGAATACAATGATTAGACCACAATGGTTATGAAACATAATAGTCAGATGGTCAGGACCGGCACTGTGGTGTAGCAGATAAGACTGCCACCTGTAGTGCTGGCATCCCATATGGGCGCCAGTTCGAGTCCTGGCTGGTCCCCTTCTGATCCAGCTCTCTGCTATGGCCTGGGAGAACAGTAGAAGATGGCCCAAGTCCTTGGACCCCTGCACCCACATGGGAAACCTGGAGGAGGCCTCTGGCTCCTGGCTTCGGATTGGCACAGCTCTGGCCGTTGCAGCCAAATGGGGAGTAAACCAGCAGATGGAAGACCTCTCTCTCTCTCTCTCTCTCTCTGCCTCTCCTTCTCTCCTTCTTTCTCTGTGTAACTCTTTCAAATAAATAAATAAACCTTTAAAAAAAAAATAATAGTCATGACATGACAACGAATTTTGAACTGCCTAAGATATCACAACCTGCCTAGCTAGAAGTGTATAGACATGGGGCCCACCCACCAGTGGCCATTCCTTTGCACAGCTGATTGCGGGCCTAGGCTAAAACCTGGGAAGAGACCACACATTCAAGGTTTCCCTGTGAGACACTGGGTTCTGTAACAAGAAGTACAAATGAGAAGTTTCAGAGTGATTAAATACGTTGGTGGAGGTTGGTGCTGTGGTGCAGCAGGTTAAGGGAACACCAGCAATGCGGCCATCCCATATCGGAGTCTCAAGCTGTTCCTCTTAAGATCCAGCTATCTGCTAACGTGCCTGGGAAGGCAACAGAGGATGGCCCAAGTGCTTGGGCTCTTGCCACTCACATGGGATACCAGAATGGAGTTCCTAGTTTCTGGATTCTGCCTGGTCCAGACCTAACTGCTGTGGCCATTTGGGGAGTGAATCTCTACCTTTCAAATAAATAAATCGGGGGGGAGGGGGATAATGTGTTACTGGAGAGAGTATAAATCACTCTGAAACTGTGAGGCCTGCAATGCAGATGGGAACTGGAGGTCAGGCAGGCTCCAGCACACCACACAGCTGAGTTTATGCTTTGTCTTTGCTCAGCCCTCAAGCCCATCAACACACGACATGGTGAGAACATTTGAACACATCATTTAGTGTTAAGTTATGAAATAACACCTACCACCTAAAAATATTCAATAATACCTTCTATCTTTCTATCTCAAAAAAAGTAAGGAAAAGCGGTCTGAATTGTAAATAGCTATACCAGGAACTCTAGTCTTCCCACAATGCTAAGCATCTTGCTTTAGGACTTCAAGTACTATTAATTTAAACAAGGGGACCTGAAACCCTGAGAATCTCTGATTATACCAAACACCCAGGTACAGTCTATACACATGTAAGCCAGGGGAAATCTTTTATTTATTTTTTACTTTTTTAAAAAATATATGGAATGGTTCACGAATTTGCATGTCATCCTTGCACAGTAGCCATGCTAATCTTCTCTGTATCATGGGGAACCTTTTAAAAACAATCTGAAACTGTTTGTTTTCCAATTTATTCCTACTGCAGGGCAAAAACTGTCAACATTGGAAAAACCAGGAAAGGCTTGTCCTTTAATGGACTGGTCTGGCACTCAAGAAAAGAGCCCAAAACTCTCTATTTTCCCCTTTAAGTACTGTGAAGACTACATACTTCAGCAGCACCACTCTGTTATTTGCTTTGTTTAACTCTTTTCATTTCTCCAGTGGGAGGGAAGCTGCTTGAGGTACAACACCAAGATTCCCTCTGGATCTCTTCAATGCAATGTGGTTGGGAAGGAGAGCCAAGGGGTAATGCCCCCCAGTGAGGCTTACTTAAGTGTGGGAGAATTTTGACTAAATTAATAATAATAATAAATAAGTAGAATGAAGCCACTATGGTGAATAAAAAAAAATGGAACAGATACAAAATAATTATTGCCAAAATCTTTGCCCTAGAGTTCTCATTCATGAGGGCCAAGAGAGGCCAAGCAGATGGTGGAACAGCAGTGCCATGAAGGAAAAGGGGTCCCTGCTGGAAGTTGTGTTCTCCCATTTTCCAGCGTAACCAAAGCAGGCCTAAGAACTGAAATGTTCTTTAAATGTGAATGGAACTTCCCCGCATATACCAAAATTAACTCAAAAGGATCAAAAACCTGCTAAGAGCTAACATTAAAATCTTAGAAGAAAACTGGCACAGGCAACAGAAGGGAAAATAAAGGAAGATAAATGGACTTCAGCAAAATTAAAAACTTTGTGCTTCAAAGGACGCCAACCACCCATGTTTGAAGCAGCATTGCTCACTATATCCAAAAGAGGAAGCCACGCAAGGGTCCACCTATAGCTGAATGAATAAAATGTGGTTATACACATACAAAGGAATGTCACACGCCACAACATGGATAAACCTTGAGATGATGATGCCCAGGCAAATAAGCCAGTAAGAAAAGGACCAACACTGTATTTGACTCAGTTCATAGAAAGTATCTAGAGTAGTCAATTTCACAGGCACGGAGAATAAAAGAGGGTAGCCCAAGTGCAGGAGGGACAGAGAGTAGGGAGTCAGTCATTGTTTAACGGGAATAGTTTCAGATTTGCAAGATGAAAAGAGCCCTGGAGATAGATGGTGGCCATGGCTGCACAATAATGTAAATATACTACTGTCCCTGATCCATACACTTACAAATAGTTAACGTAGAAAAAGACTAAAAAGACAACCCACAGAATGGGAGGAACTATTCGCAAATCACATGTATAAGGAAGACTTACACTTAAAATATATAAAGAACTACTAAAACTTAATAATAATAAGACAAACCATACAATCTAAAACGAGGTCAAAGATCTGAGTATTTCCCCCCCAAAGAAGATCTACAAATAGGAATAAGCTCAGTATAATTAGTTATCAGAAAAAAGAGAAATAAAACCATAATCAGATACCCCTTCACAGCCTCTAGGATGCCTAAAACAAAAGACAGAAAATAACAAGTGTTACAGAAAAAATAACAAGTGTTCACATCATTTATAGGAAATGTTCAGAATAGGCAAATTCGCAAACATAGAAAGCAGGTGAGTAGCTGCTCAGAGCTGGAGCATAAAGGGTAATGAGAAGTGGTGGGCAATGGGTATGGGTTTCTTTAGGGGTGACAAAAACATTCAAAAATTGATTGTGGTGATGACTGCAAAACTGTGAATACTAAAACCACTGAATTTTACTCTATAAATGGGTGAATTATATGGTATGTGACTATCTCAGTAGCTTTGAAAATATGAATGTGGATGTCTGTCTATTCCATATCTTTTTTTTTTTTTTTTAAACAGGCAGAGTGGACAGTGAGAGAGAGAGAGAGAAAGGTCTTCCTTTGCCGTTGGTTCCCCCCTCAATGGCCGCCACGGCTGGCACGCTGCGGCCGGCGCACCGCGCTGATCTGATGGCAGGAGCCAGGTGCTTATCCTGGTCTCCCATGGGGTGCAGGGCCCAAGCACTTGGGCCATCCTCCACTGCACTCCCTGGCCACAGCAGAGGGCTGGCCTGGAAGAGGGGCAACCGGGACAGAATCCGGCGCCCTGACCAGGACTAGAACCCGGTGTGCCGGCGCCGCAAGGCAGAGGATTAGCCTAGTGAGCCACAGCGCCGGCCTTGTCTATTCCATATCTAAACACACTTAGTCACAGTAACTTTCTGAATGGCAAAGGAAAGTATTTACAAGGCTTCTTATGATATATTATAGGAATTCTACTTTCCTCAAGACAGGTACCTGGCAAGAGAAGAGAAACGAATCCTATACATATTTTGTCAAGCATCTAGAGTCATAAAAAAAAAAGTTACACAGCACTGTACCAAATAAGGCACTCATTATCAAAGCTGGAAACTTAATTATGAGAAATTTCACGCCTACTCCCTTAATTAGCTATTTTACAATTGAAGTCTTGACAATAGCTCATGAACATCAAACTGTTAGCCCACATTACAGGTATGTGACAGGAAATGAAGGATACTCCACATTCCACAGTTGTGTGATTTTACAGAAGAATTTAAGAAAGTTTTCCTTTTCCAATAAACCATCCATAATGAAGTCCTTTTGGAGTTTTCCCAATCAGCATAGAGCTCTGCTTTGTCCTGGAGTGATCTGCAACAGGACTTGGCATTTAACTGGCTCCTGTCTACAAGGCTATACACAAGCATATATAATTGTCTTGCTATATAGATAATAACAAAATCTCACTTAGACATTGACAAATGAATAGTCCTGCATTCAATACAATGAATACAAACCTAAGAAGCTGCAGGAAAAAAAAATTGTAAGTCACTCTAAGTGTATTAACAAAAGCACCTTTGGTACCAACTTCTCAATAAAAAATATTCTAGAAACTTGATGTCAATCTAGCATCACTCATTAAAATCTGAATCTCTAAACACATATCATTTATTATTTTTAATCAAACATCCAACTTGTGGAGCATCTGGAATTATTCTATCTGCCTTAGATGAGTATCAGACATCAGAAATGCTTCCAGAACAGGCTTTCAATCAATCCTTAAGGCCTAATTCCACATTAACAAACAAAAATACACACACACTGGTTCCAGGGCAAGCATCTGACACAGCAGTTAAAACACCACTTGGGATACCCACATCAAAGTGCCTGAGTTCACATTCCCCCTCTACTTTCAATTCCAGCTCCCGGCTAGTGCACACCCCCAGGAAGCAGCAAGTGATTGCTCCAGTAGTTGAATTCCTGCCTTCCACGTAAGAGAGCTGGATTTTCCTGGCTTCAGGATAGCCCAGCCCTGAATTTTATCAGCATTACAGCAGTAAACAATGGATAGAAGATGGATCTCAGTTTGTGACTCTCTTTCCCTTTCTGTCTTTCAAATAAAAATAAATTAAAGGGCCAGCAATGTGGAGCAGGTTAATCCTCCACCTAGGGCGCCGGCATCCCATATGGATGGTTCTAGTCCCGGCTGCTCCTCTTCCAATCCAGCTCTCTGCGATGGCCTGGGAAAGCAGTAGAAGACGGCCTAAGTCCCTGGGCCCCTACACCCTCGTGGGAGACCTGGAAGAAGCTCCTGGCTCTTGGCTTCAGATCAGCACAGCTCTGGCCGTTGTGGCCATTTGAGGAGTGAACCAGTGGATGGAAGACCACTCTCTCTGTCTCTCCCTCTCATTGTCTGTAACTCTACCTCTCAAATAAATAAATTTAAAAATCTTAAAAAATTAAAAAATAACAAATAAAAAGAGAAAAATGCTGGTTCCCATTCATTCTGATTCTTTAGTTTCAAGTAGGAAAAAAGGAGTGAATTCAAGATGATAAAATTTTTCTGTAAATTGCTTAATATCAATCTGCTGCTTTACAGAACCATTATATTATAAACTTTAGGAGGAACTTAAATGTTTCTAATAAAAGTGTGTTAACACAGAGGCCAAGTCTTAAATATTTATAGTTTAGTACTAAAATCCTTGGGATGAAAAGGAGACATACCTTGCTGAGGCAGTTCTAAAAGAAAAAAAATCCGGGGCTGGCACTATGGCATAGCAGGTAAAGCCGCCACCTGCAGTGCCAGCAACCGATATGGGCACCGGTTCAAATCCCGACTGCTCCACTTCCAATCCAGCTCTCTGCTATCACCTGGGAAAGCAGAAGATGGTCCAAGTCCTTGGGCCCCTGCACCTACATGGGAGACCCAGATGAAGCTCCTGGCTCCTGGCTTCGGATCGGCACAGCTCCAGCCGTTGCAGCCATCTCGGGAGTGCACCAGTGAATGAAGACCTCCCTCTCTCCCTGTCTGCCCCTGCCTCTCTGTAATTCTGTCTTTCAAATAAATAAATCTTTTTAAACAAAGAAAAAAATCCTGGTCAGTTGTGTTTTTACTCAACTTCAATAATCTGCTTGTCACACATTCTTGAAATTTTTGCAGTCAGGTTTATAATCCTTGAGCAACTATCCTGCTAAGACTATAATCAAAACATTTTCACAATTATAGCAAAGTATTTTTACACACAAAAATTTCAAAGATACCACATCTCGGCAATCCCCTAAACTAAAATTCATCAGTTCTAATCATTGACCTCTACAACTGAGCAGGCTGGTCCCTTCTGCAGGAAGAGCTTCTGTCAATCAGGCACACCCTCTTGGTAAGGGCGATGGCTTCACCCATCCTTTGCCCTCTGCTCAAAGGCTTACCCTGCCCACTCTCGGGAGCTTGACTATGGTCCTGACCATCAGGATGAACTGCACTTGTGTAACTGCTGTCCCTCCCTGGGGACCGACCTCATGCATGTCACAGACCCATAGAAGAACATGTTTGCAGAAGAAGCAGACCAGTTCCTCCTCTGCCACAACAGGCTACACAACCTTGGACAAGGTCCTCTACCTCTCCTGATCTCCATTTCCTAGACTGTAAATTGGTGATGATAATGCTTACTTTCAAAGGTTGCTTTAAGGGGGGGACCGGTGCTGGGGTGCAGTGGGTTAACGCCCTGGCCTGAAGCACCAGCATCCCTTATGGGCTGCGGTTGGAGAC